CGCTTTCCTCTTCCGCGGAAAAACTTCCTCGTGGATGGTAAAAAAGAAGAAGAAGAAAAAAAAGATGGCCAAGTATCGATGTTACAGCTCTAGGGGCGATGATACACATCAATGGAATGGGTAGAAGCCCATCGACCCCGGAAATACCTTGCGTTCCAACTCGTGCTGACACCCGAGCCGTTTGTAAACGACTATAACTCATCGCAGGCGTAACATCTGATGATGTTGAAAAACAAAGAGTTGTGAATCGATCTAACTACAAATGAAATGAACGAAATAAAAGAAGGGGAATGGCTTGGAGAATGAAACTGTAATGAACAGTACTGCGTCAAGGTTGCGCGGGATTTACAATTTGCGTTCTGGCATTAGCCACGCGATATTTCCCTTTGGCGTCTCATTAACGTATGAATCATCAGAGCGTCAAGGGGAAGTTTGCGTTATAGTCGGAGTCACGCACAAAACTCGGTACCGAAGATCGATGGATCACGATGAAGTGGCCAGTTGTCGAGTCATCCTTTTTCCACGCTACAGCTAGCTTTCCGCTTGTGTTGATTCATACCTGTCATTTCGTCAAATCGTTATTGCGTATCTATTGGATGCTTTGGAGTGAGGTAGACTTGAATCATGTACGTTTTATAATTCACGGAGCTACGTTCTGGTGGAAATATTTCCGACATTAACACGAACAGGCCAGCCATTGTAACAGGTCACAGGGAATAACCAAACGCCTAGGCTGTTTATGACCTCAACAACCCAACATGTGGACCAATACAATAGACAAAGGGCCTTGTCTTATGGGCGGGTCTCATACCCTTGACCAACTGATGACGATGGAAACTATAACTATATCCAATCTTTCACTAAAATTAAATTGAAGCCAATGAAGAGTTGAAGAAATGGAAAATAGAGTCGCCTGGGATTGAATTGATTAAACAGCCGATATAATACCGAACATTGTCTAGTCTAGGATTCTCTGGAGGTACTCAAGCTACCAATTCATTGGGATAAGCTGCAGTGATCAGAGCCAAGGTGCAGTGATCCGGCTGTGGTAAGATGAGCGACACCACCGGTTTCCTTCTAATAGCTTCAACGCGCAAATCCCCATCGGGTATCTCAACGAAGCAAACACCCTCCAGGCAAATCCCCGAAACACGTTCATCCCACGACAAAGTAGAATCAAGTACCGCAGAGATATCTAGTCGAGCTGAGAATTAATCGATCCAGCCTTTATTCTGGGTTTTCATTTCCTCCACCCACTGTCATCTCAAAGAGCTAATCCATCACCGAATAAATATATACTTGAGATAATCACTAAGTATACTTGGTGTAGATACCTCAGGAAGAGATATGTACTCTGATATATTTATGGATAATATATTTATATGGATCGCACTTCATGTGGATCGAGTGTTTGTTATAAAAATAATTAACACGTCTATTTGTATTTTCAGTTGTTAGAATATAGCCTCAGTTTTCTACGAATTGATTTATATGAGTCTATGGTTTCAAAAATGTATCAACATAGAGAGAGATGTTGGGATTAGACATAAACATAAGCCATGAGGTCATGTGGCAAAGGAACTGGGGATCCATTGTCACATTATGACGTTTTCTCTTTTTGGCCCTGTTGACCACTTTAGTCTGCTTTGGCAGGTCGTATAGAACAGACATTTCTTCCTCGTGCCATTTTTAATAAATTAAAATTAACATATTAAATCCACTGTGTTACAAAGTTATTTCTCTGTCCCCCATATTCCATTATCAGTTTTATTGTTTATCCACGGAGAGAAATATTCCAGAATAATTACGAGACATTTCACGTAATCCACCAGCGAGAATCGATTTCGGGGAATAGATCTAGAACTTTCAGCAAATTTTCGGTTTCTGTCACCGAAAAAATACGAAAAAGTCGCGTAATTTTTCTGGATGTCTTCAAATCGAACGGAACTTCAATTCTTATTATGCCTCAGAACATAAAAATTCTTTGATATTCAAGAATTTTTACGGAATGTTCCGGAAAAGTTACGAAACATTCCGGAAAAATTACGAAACGTTCCGGAAAAATTACGAAACGTTCCGTAAAAATACCTCCCTCAGGGTGACTCATGGCTAGCCGTGAGGCGCCGGGTGTATGAGTAATTTTTACGGAACATATCCTAGAATTTATGTGATGATTCCTTCGCTTGCAGATTACGTGAAATGTTCCGTAATTTTTCTTGAATATTTTTCTCCGTGAGGAAGATTTTTGGATTATACTTCAGTCGAGACGTTGCTCTGCGGATATTACTCTAGACTCTAGAGTCTAGAGATTAATTCTGAACTCAACTACTTTTGGGAGTTATTTTTGAAATATTTGGGGCACAAAATTTCCTGTTTGTGAAAGGGGTTTTCCTTCACCCTTGACCGCTTATGGTCGCCAGATGTTGGTAGGGATGGGCAGTAATAAATATAAGTTTCTCCATACAATACGACTTGCTCCGGGTTTTTCTTTTCCTACTCCACGGTTCTACTGCAATAAAACCGTCTATTCGAAAACAAAAATATGAAAATTAGGAAAGAAAGAGTGAATTTTGGAATTGGGGAAATCCCCAAAAATTCAATAGTCCATCGGTCTGGTCTAATTGGTAGTTCCTAACAAATTGATCCTCTCAATTTTTTTATCGGTGTGATACACACAGAAAAATATACTCGAATTTTTTTTCTCAGTCCATTCGTTTATTATAGGTGGCACATCTAATCGATTAAAAATCAATTTTCCATCAATATCGCATTGAAAGTGGAATATACTAAATTGAAGTATTTTTTCACGAATTCCGAGCTTTCATTTGATTTGAATCTGTTTCAATGAGTATAAATGCATCCAGTCAGCTATTCATCCGGACAATCCGATCTAAAGCTCTTAATTTTTTATCTCTTTCAAACGCGAAGAGAAATCCCTCTTAAAAATGATTGGACAGATATTTCCATTGATCCATTCCCCGTACTTTACTCTATGGTTTTTTTCAATTCGGTCAAAATTTCCGATATTAAGTGGTAAATTTTCAGGATTACGGAACTCTTCCGTCATTTTTCTCGCCTTTGGGTTTCAAGAAAACTTGAATTTTCCAGTCTAGTATTGATTTGACTTTGAAATATCGATAATCCTTTGGTAAAGGTGTCCAATCTCGAAATATCACTCCTAATAACCCAAATGACAGACAGATCGATAACCACCGATTGTCCTCTGAAGCGGATCAATCGGACAGGTGTTCGCCGTAGGGTATTACATAGGTTTCTCCCCCTTCTGTGTTGGTAATGCATTGAGATTGGATTTTCCCCTGGAATAGCACCAAGTTGGGAAAGTTTTACCTTCACTCCAACAACAGTTGCCTAACGAGTGGAGCTTAGAGACGCACTGTTACACAGTCAGTGACTTAAATGCGATACATGGGTGATTGTGTACAGCTTCCGTCCTTCCTAATGTAAACTTGTCGACCTACTTTACCCACACGGAATCCAATGAAAGAAAATCTACGTGTTGGTAGCCTCCGATTACTAAATAACCATTCAATATCTCCAATTTGCCATCAGTTTTCTTCAATGGGTACCCCAAGAAAGTACACCAATAAAGTATACTTTGCATACTTGATTAAAGTACTGTGCATAATCGAGTGGAATTTATTCTAATAAAGTATACTTTAACCGCGTGTCTTTGGTGTTTCGTAAAAATAAAAGTATCATTTGGAATTGTTTAAAGTACATGTTGAGTACTTGAAATGTACTTGAAACAAAGTATTGGTGTTATTGATTGTATGTGGGATTTTGAATTCTTGAATCAACCAGTCAAATCAAATTAAATCAAATCAAATCAAATTAGATCAAATCATAAAGTCTACTTGTTTCAAGTACTTTTCTCTGAAGAATGAATTTGTAATGGTAAATCTCATTCCAAATTTTCACAAAAAAAAAATCAAAAAATCAAAATAAAAAAAAATCAAAAATAGTAAAATAAAAAATTAAAAAAAATAAAATCGCTCTGGGAAAGTTGGCCATCCCGCGTGAAATATAATCCTTTAATAATTTCATCCCCCATTTTATCTCGACTCCCTCAGTGAACCATTGAAAAGCTCAAAAATACGAATAAAAGCTGATAAATGCTTTTGTCAAATATCACGGAGAATTTTTTCCATTTCACGCTCACAAAGCGGATTTCCGAAAAATTTCATATTCCACTGAGATTTTTCAATAACCCGTGGATTTAATAAAACACATTGAAAAAAATATCCCGTGGCATCTACTCCGCGACAATGCAGATGATCGAATGAGGAATTATTTAAAAAATAGATAGTCTAAAGGATGTAACGAAATACATAGAAGTATATATGTACAGACTGGCTGGAGAGGAGGGGGGAGGGGTGGTAAATGTTAGAGTTCGCTGTATCCGAAACACCTGTAGAGCTCCAAAGGGATTTACTCGACGAAAGAATGAGAGCGGTATTTGCTGTGCCGTTTCCTCTTCCACCATTTATTTTTTTCCCTTTTTCAACTTTTTTCTCAAGAATATAAAAATACATAAAGATGTGAAAATGAAATGGGAACAATGTAAACTCGACAATGAGAATAATCCTTACGGTATACAGTGGTAAAAACGATGGGAAAAGTGGGGACTTTTGACCTATATTTTCCGCATTGTCATTACTCAACTTTTTCCAGGGACTACTTATCGTCACTATCTTTTTCCGCAGATTTTACTGCATCCCCGAGAAATATTTGATCCGATTAAAATTCAATAGAGTGGAGATTTAAAGTGCCAGCGGTAGTTAAATGTTAAACTATCTCTAAAATTCACTAGGGAGTTATTTTCAATGTATTTTATTTATTCGGAATTCTCTAGTAATGGCTAATGGTCTTTGATCAATTGGTGTTTGAAGCGGAATGATAATTATTTTATCACATTCGGTCGTGCAGGGCGCGAGATTATAATATGATAATTATTTCAGTGATGGTTTTGGGGTACTTACGGTGTTTGATGTGTAGATGTGGAACTGGATCACTCGGCCAGGCTAGAGATCTTCCAACAAGGCCAGTAAGAGCCAAAATAATAAGATTTTCAATCATCCTGAAGTACGATGAAACTCTCATGTTTGATGCCCACGGGCTTCACTCATAAATCAACCATCATACTCAGTGCTTTCCATCTCATCTCATCCATAAACTTCGCTTCTGAAACACAAACCGACATCAAAGATTAGATGCTAATGCTCGTGACAGCATAACATTTGTTGAATTATGTTTTACAGTCAAACAAACTCGGAAATTCAATCATCACGGGTTTCATTGTTACGGATATGACGTTGCTTTCGCGAGATTAATCTGTTTCCTATGAAAATTCACGTTTTCAAGAAATATTCATTTCTCTCTATAAAATGTCTGAGATATTTTTCGATATTCTTCATTCGTACGTTTGCACTTTTTTTACCTTCATGATTGAATCTAATTTTTATTATGAATACATATTATGAATAATTACACGATTTTTCAGTGTCGATTGAACTTGCAAACGGAGAAGTAATTGAATATTTAAATTAATTAATTAGCCAGTGCGGCGTTCTACAGAAATTTCACGTAACTTTGTGAAATAAAAAAAAACGAATAATGAAGTGTTAAATTTTCAGATGTTATCAATTGCAAGCGTAATTTTCAAAGATTGTGAGGAAATCAGTGCAGCCCTTTTTGCCGGTCTTTCCGGAAGTTGATGGCGTACAATTTTATCCCCGTGAAAGTTTGTAGGAATAAAAGGCCAATGAGAAATCAGCCGCAGTGGAGTTTGACGTTGGGATGGTACATGCATTATGCAAGGACACAAGCTGGTGTACACGGGGGCTCTTTACGCTTCGTCTCCCTTACTCCATCGTTTAACTGCCAAAACTTTGAGCTCCTTCCACCCTTGCCATCAAGGAATGGAGAGGGATTCACTATTTTAACCCGTCATGCATAGTATTACCCAGTGGTAAGGGCGAAAACACAGTTAACCACTTCGTTTTGCAAACTTGAATTCTATCAAATGTTTTCATTTTCAGGCAATTAAGACTCCTCGTTGATTTTCACCGTTCACCTACAGCACTCTGTTTATCGTCGCATGAATAAGTCGGGGGTAATGCCAAGTGTTGGTGCAACATGCTGACACTATTTATTCACAAAGACAGAATGGAAATTGTTGATTTTCGATGCTGTGTGTGAATACATTCATTGCGAGCTCTTACTCATTGTTTAATTACACTGTTGCAAATTCACCGGAATTTCAGGGACAAAAACATTATGTCGGTTTGACTTGTATAATTGAGAAAACATTGATTATCATTTTTTAATTGTATTTATAAATAAATATTATGTTTGTAAACCCAAAGTCATCACTAATGTTTTTAAGAATCTTAAAATTTCGGGTATAAATTTTTTGCAGTGCACGGATAAATTATCGTAACGAGGAAAAAATCTCACTGAATGAAGATTTCGTTTACTCCATGCCGACACGATTACATGAAATCTGAAATTTTCTCTCTGAAGAAGTAAAAAAAAAATTGAATAACCCGAAAACTGCGAAAATTCGACATCCGACAAATCACCGGTTACTTTCTCCGCGCCATAAAAAATCCCTTTGACATCCGAAAAATTTCATCCCAATTAAAATTCCCATCCTCACCTCATCCCCGTGTCCACAAAAATAAAAAGCAAAACGCCAACTTTCACCATTACGGAACAATTTATCCAATGATAAACGTGATGTCACCGCAACTCAACGATATAAACTTTCGCGGGAAAAGCTCATCCTCATTCATTACCATAAATCACGGTAGAAAAGTGGTATTGCAATTTCTACCTGATATCACGGGTTTATGAGTGAGTGAAATTAACCACCCACCATTCCCATCCGCCCTTCCACCGCGAATCACTAAAACGAGATGGCGAGGCGTGTGGAATAGATAAGAACAACTAGACCTGATAAAGTCTAAGGTGAAGCGGTGCCATTTTGAAAATAGGCCACTTATCCAATAAAACGTGTCTCATGCTCTCGTTTATAAATCATACAGCACGTATATGAAGCCCATTGCATTTGCCCCCTCCCTTCCCCCCGTTACCCCTTCCTCTCCACCAATGTACTGAGCCATTTGAGTAACAAAGGATATTTTAACTTGGTGTACAGAGGGGGGCAAGGGGGATCTCGTTGTACTGCACAGAGCGGATATCTCATTTCGGATGGGAGAAACGGAAATTCTTGGGTCTGTGGGTTACTAGTACTGTGTGCAGGGAATTTTAGGTTCTAGTGAGAGATCTGGGGGAAAAAATATGGGGAATCCCTCGGTTCTCTCGCAGCACCCAGACACAGCACACGTACTGTTTTCCTCGGTACTTACACGGAATTCGGGTGGGGTGGATTTTTTATTTATGAGTTTCCTTCCTTGTTTTCTGGTCCACGCAATTTATTTGTTGGGAATGTGTTAATTTGGGAGAGGACAGGGGGTCGAGTTCATTTCAAGGGGACGTGCACTGGGAAAATTTATTTGAATTAAGTGGAAGTAATGAATGAAATTAGAAATTTATTGACATTTCAGGCACGGGGTATGTGGAATTTTAATTGTGTCAGATTCAAGTCGATTTCTATTGTAAAATCTTCGGAATTTCAAAGATTTTGATTTTTGGGGTGAAGGGTAATTCGTTTTTTTTTTATGGAAACCTGAATTTTCAGGCGAATCGGGAAAATTAAATGGTACATACTATTAATACACGTTGGATCTTCAATAAATGAATTTAATTTTCAATGCAGAATTTTAGGGGAATTCTACGGTAAATATCTCGAGAATAAACAGAGATGGATAATTTTTAATTACTGCCTTTTCTGTTAATCAACATGTGCTGTAAAAAAAAGACGAATACAAAAATTGCGCTAGCTCCCCTCATTTCGAATTGGATTTTCCAGCTGAGATTTTTCAATTTGAAACAGAACATAATTCGGATCAATGTCAGTTGCAAAAAATGAAAATTTCTGAAATGCTAAATAGCAAATTACGCGAACATTCAAACTTGTGGAAAAATCGGGGCGGCATTGTATGGCGGTTGGGTAAAATCATGGCGAATGAACTGTGGATTACTTGGGTTGGAATTACACTTGTGAAATTTATTCACGCTCCTCGTAATTTGCGTCGTCGTACGAATGCATTGGACGATTGCGAGAGTGAAGCGTGCGGAGTTTCAATTGGGTTGCGAGCTGGACTCCATCGTCACCGATCGGACGTGACTCCAGACTGGAAATCGAGTAACGAGTTTCCCCCCAATTCCCCACCTCAATTCTTCAATGTGCGGCATAAACGGACCACAACGCCAAAACGGAGCACATTCAAAAAAAAAAAAGAAACGTAAAAAATAACGCTGTCCCCAAAATAATCAAAAAATTTCTCTCGATTTCCTCACCTCTCTTGACTTATTAAAAAATTACATTTAACTAAAACTCTTTAAAACATAATTTATATAATTTTTTTTATCTGATTTTAAAATTCATAAAATTAAAAAAAAAAAAGCATTATGAATTATTAATATAAATCAGAAATTTAATTAATTAATAGAGATGTTCAATACTGAGTATATAATTTCTTTAATTACGATTATCGAATATGTCAAATTCAATTTTAATTAATAAAATGAAATCGAAAAGAACTTTTCCTACATGAATTGAGAATTTCCGTTGAAGTCCGAATATTTTTTTGAGTAATTAGTTAATTTATTTGGGATTTTCATTGCCCTGTGATGCCCTGTGGTCCGATTTACCCGTGGGGTCTGTCTCGCCGGCGATTTGAACGCGTATTCCACACGCCAATGATTATCCGTCCTCCTTTATCACTTTGTTCCGAGACCCATCTCATTCCAGCATTTGGCTTGCGGCTATTATTAGTGATTCGCGAGACTAGAATGACGAGAGTTGTTTTACGGAAGTCGATGATGATGATGGAAATCGATGCACATCACGCCCACATAATCTAACCTTTGTTAGACGAGATTTAACGAGGCGAATATCGGCCCATTGGAGATATTCATAAATGGGGGTAATGAATTTAATTAGGACTGGGGGATAATAAATTCGTTGGGGAATCATCGGGGGGAGAATTAATTTCGTTAGAATTCTGGGGTGCTTTGATGGGAGGGAATTTATTCGATCATCAGATTTGGGGCGAGGGCCCAATTGATCCTCGGGACGGGGAAAAATTAAAATATAATCATATTTCAGATAATTAACTCTCACGAGCAATTGAGCTCTCAAGAGGGGAAAAGACACAGAAAATTCGCGCATTTTTCACCATTTTCAGACAATTACATTCGGAATTTCAAGTAATCAATAAGTTTTTCGGTTAATTTTCATTAACGAATTCATTAATTATTTAAATACTCTGGTATTCTCATTGGCAGATCTGCTTTCCATTTTCCGAGTTGGAAGTTGAATTATCATTTAACAGGAAAAACGCAATGGCCTCGAGTTTTCAAGATAAATCGGGAATTGAACTGAAATTTCGAGGAATTTCTACCGTGATATGTCCAATAAAATTTCGTCTTAATTATTTTCAGCTAAAATTAGGAAGTAATTAACAACTCAGAAATATCCACTAAAACCTGAATAATTAACGGTCGACGTTCGATAGGGAATTTTTGAAGGCAAGAGCAATTATAATATCTCCTCGTTAATTAAAATAATTAACGTGTCCGAGAGATGAGAAAATAAGAGATATCTGTCAGTGACGACCGGATCGAAAATCTCATATATAACGTGATATATACGCATGTGCCGACACATTATTCATTGTCCACGGAGAAAATGGAAAATGCCTGGCTGCCAGGTATTTTCATTCGTTTTTTTTTACCCCTTTTACTTTTGCACTCCCGACTTTAGTCTCTCTTTTTCACTATTTTTTCCTCCGATTCTTTCATTCCTGTTATTTCATATCCGTGCGTGACGCTGCCAGAGGTCGTGGAATTGACATGCGTTACTTATCCTTTTGTATTTACCCCCCAACCCCCACCCCCACGGCACTCACATTTTCTCCAGAACGAGGGAAAATTACAGTTCGTGTTTTTTGTTTTATTGCAACAAAAAGGGAACCAGGAGGCAGATTAACTGAATATGAAAAAAAGTTAATTGAGTTAGTATTTTAGACATTTAACGCTGTATTTTAGATTAT